TACGAGTCCGGTGTTGTGTCCAAGGGTTGCGCAAGAAGAATACCGTCCAGTGCTTTGTCGTCGAGTTTGCCGTCTGGATCACAGTTCTTGTATGCGATGTGACACCCGAATGTTCTGAACATATCTATCGGAAATGCATATCCTGCAAACTTCTCGTATGGGGATGAGCTCTTCTCGTTGGTGGGTATAGCATTGTATATGTTGGTAGTTTGAATCAGTGATTTAGCCCGCATAGTAGTCGGTAGACGTGCATACTTCAGTTGTGCAAGCATTCTAGGGACCAGTGTACCAAGGAGTCTCTCTACCTTGTCCTGGTATTGTGGCGTGGCTGTAGGTGCGTACCTCGAGCAGTATCCCAAATACGCAAGTATGCGCCTCGTTACGTTTGCTGTAAACTGTGAGCCTCGATCCATTTGTATGCACTGAACTCGGCGATGACTTAAGATGTACCATTCATCGAATGTGTGTAACATAGCATCCAAAATTATTGTCGCTTTCAGATCGCGGATCGGATACTCTTTGGTCATGCTAGAAAAATCGTCTATGATTGATACAGAGTGGGTGTTGGATCCTATTGTCGTTAAGAACGGTCCTAATATGTCCACGAATACTAACTTGAAAGGCTCTGTAGTAGGTTCTTGCTGTCGTTCCTTGTTTGTATTCTTGTTCTTCTTCTTAGCAATAGTGCATGCTTTGCATCGTTCCTCTGGTTGCCTTATGTAGGGTAAATCTTTTGGGACGTAGCTGGGTGTGCGAGCCTGTTGTGCCATGAAATCTGATTGGCTTTCTCCAGCGATGGTTCCACTGTAGTCATAGCTATGTCGTCGATGTGCACACATTATATTCTGTGTTTTTCATGTACTGTTATGGTTCCGAAGCTTGGAAGTAATATGTACATCATGTTATTGGTGAATTCAAATGAGTAGTGACGCGCTGAGAGTAGGCTGATACTTAGTAGTGCAGTTTCAAATGTCGTATCAACGAGTACGTCCCCCAAGTTTCCTAGCTGAGCCACATACTTCAGATAAATGATCGTACCATCAGCTACTTCGAGCGCATACCGGTCATTAATGCGCATGTTGTTGACGAGATGATGTTTGTGGTACTTATAGGGAAGTACGTGTATGTTGGCGCAACTATCGCAAGCTAGTCAGTATCCACCTCTGGAATCACTATCTGACTGATCATTCACCTCCTTGTTGTCGATTGTAGGGTTAATTGTGGAGAATGCAATATGTCTGTTTGCAGGTAACTGGCCATCAGATACTTGTGCTGACATAGCTTTGTCCTGTCTGCCTTCATGAGCTTGGCGTCGATTGCTCTGGGATCTATATGTTCTGTCAATGTCTTGTGAATGTTGGGTATCTCGTGAATATCTACCATCGTCGTAGTCGCGTCGATTGTACCTATCTACTTGGTAGTCCTGTCGGTCCTGATCATTGTGATTATCGTAGCGGTATTGGTAGCTGTTGTTTCTTATCGTCGTTTACAGCCCGCCGTAGAATAGCGCATAGGCTGTTGTTAGACTTCGTACCTCCGGCGTTTTTGAATTTCACAAATGCCATGTTGAGACGACTGATAAGGCTGGCGTAAGATTCGTTCCTTTCTTGCGTGATGCGGTTCAGTTTTCCTTCTAATGTCTGGATATCATCTTCGGTCAGGGCTTCAAACTTGCGCTTCAGTGCGGCAAAAGCTTCCCACGGCTTGTCAATGAATTGGCCGATCTGTGTTTGCAACAGTGGAGATAACTTGCGGTTGATAATACGATATGCCTCAGCGATTTCCTTGAGTGTCCATCGGTTGCCTCTAGATGGGGTTGGATTGGTCAATATTGTTGGGATTCCTTCACAATTCACGGATAGAATTGTCTGGGTTTTCCAAGGAAGCCAGTCAACCTTCGATTCGAGAATAGTGGTGGTCTTAATATCCTTAGAGTTAACAGTAGGCATATTGATAGTGCGAGATCAGAGTGACCTGATAAGTTGTTAAAACCATTTAAATAAAGTGCAAATGTATGTATTTATTTCTGACCTCACCTTTGGTTTTATACCAAGGTGTTTGTGCTAGTGTTCAGTCGCTTGGGCTGGCCAGGGTAAAAACTCATATGGCCAGTATGAGAAACCTTATGCGGAACACTTTAACACTTCGATGCTTTTCTATTTCAACTTCTCTGCAACTAAATCTCACGCTGATCACATGATGCCTTTCCGCATAGGTTGTGTTAATATGTTGTGGTTGACAGGCTTAATCCACTCTCGGGAATCGGTCGAGAAACTAAATCTGCTCTCGGAAGTCGATTAAGTAGTAACTCAACTTTTGAGAGTAATTTGAGCAATTTGATTAGCTCTCGGGAGTGAGCTAACTCTGATGACTTAGCTCT